ATTGGTCTTCCATTGCTCAAAGGCTGATTCATCTTTTCTATCCTTGTTTTGTTTGCAAATCTCACAAACTTTAGAGAGAACCAATATCCAGCACTTCTCCAGTATCAACTGATTTCACAGCTCCAACACCATGGTAAGCTGTGAAACTCCTCTTGGACCTTGCACCATGATAAAAGACAGCAAAATTGAAAACTGTATAATTCTCCACTTCTAATTCACTGTTGAGGCTATTTATAAGTCATTGGGCTGGGCAGCATTTGTCATGTGTTCATTACATACTGATCTTGAAACACAAAGAAGCTTTGACAAATGGTTTGAGAAATTGGAATCACTGACAGGAGGAGGGATATTTAAAATTGAAGTGATGTCAGCAAGTCCTTCTCTTCTAAGACCTGACTCAACAGCAGCTAACGTTGCCAGTTTGTCGACTTCATCAGCCTTGTCGCTTTCAATCCTTGAATTGGAAAATTTATGGGTGTTGTCACAAATTTATGGGTGTTGTTGAAATTACACTAAATTAAGATACCACTCTGGTGCTGGAATACAATTCATTGAATTTAGCGATACCAAATGTACAGAAACTATCAATAGAGGTTGCATTTTTACTGGTAAATTTTAGTGGCTCGAGAATAGTCGATAGAGCAAGCCACAAGACATTTTCTTGAACAAGAAGTTCAAACTGCGGATGGTTATAGGCTGTGTTTTGTACTTCAAGAGAATAGATGTTTGCAGAAAATCGTTTTTAAAGAAATATAAAAAAACATAACTTACCTCCAGAGCAAAGATGGGCCTCTGTTAGTGCAACAACTCCATATCTACTATCCTACATCCTTCAACAGCAACAAAATTTGTGAGTGTGCCAGGCAAAGGCCTAGGCCAATCAGCTGATGCTGTTCTACAAAGGTTCCTTTCACTTTTCAACTTTTCAGCTATCTCAGAGTCCACGTCTTCCGTTATAAATTGATGCTGAGTTCCCTTGAATTGGTTATTCTTAGTTCGTCGCATGACTTATCAAAAAATTTGACTAAAGGTGAAAATATCCAACAGTTATTTACAAAGATCGAGCATGCCAGCAGATCGACCAATTTTCATTTGCATTAAGGGTAATGATATCACAGGGTGTTCAACAGCAGAAAGAATGTGTAACACAAGGTAACCAAAGCTTAGATGGGAGAAGGAATGAAAAATAGGGTAAGTCATCATCAAAGGACATTTTTTTCTTCAAAAAGTCATTTCCGGTATCAACCAGTATTGAGAAATGAACTTTTTTCAAGTTTTTGAAGTACAACCGATAGAAAATGAAAACATCATTAAATTATCTGATAAATTCTACATAAGAGGGCACAAAAATGAAAAATGGTTCACAATTGAGAAAAGAAAGATTTTTACCCAGATACAAGGGCCTTAATTTAGAAATTATAACTTTCATAGTGTTAAGTGTGTGACAAGTTTGATCCTAAAACTAAACCGACTTAAAAATATTATAATATCCTGACCGGGCTGTAACCTTGGAATTTAATTGAAACAAGCGTTATATTCTTGAGGTTAAGATCTTGAAACTCAATTGGATATTTGATCAAGTTTCTGTTGAAATGAATTTCTGCAATGAAATGAATGCAAAATGCGGAAATGCGACTTAGATTGGCTTTTAGAACTGAGGTTTTCATTAAGGTAGCTAAATAGATTTCAGGGTTGCAATACATACTTACCTGGTGATCAAGTAATGAGAGAAGCAAATTAGGCATATTATCGCATGATAGAGAGGTTTTATAAGACAAAAAGTAAGATGAATAAAGCGAAAACAAATTACAAAACTTTTGTAATTATGTTATTGCCATTGTGCTTTATGTCAATGTCTTCCAGCTCAAGCAGGCAAACTGTGATAGTTTCAATATCTCTCTCAATATCAAGGTTTTCTTTCGCTTTTTAGAAATCTTGAATTGGCTCGGAGACAAATATAACTGTTTGCCATTTTTTTCAAAGAGCAGCTGAATTAAGGCTTTGAGTTTTGAATTTCAGGCTCTATTTGGGCCGTGTTGTGTGCATGCACAGACATGCCACTGATGATTCCATGCAAGATTACTTTTTGCTTTGGGTTCATCTCGTTGATTATTGAGATAATTGCATCAATGGCTTGAAGTGAGACCCATCGTGAGCAGCCAAAAGTAGCAAGATCTTCTGTTAATGTGCATTTGCCATATAACACTTTCCCATTTGGATTTGATAACAACATTTCATCAAATGCTTTGACTACCATGTTGTCAGGAATGATGCAAGCTTGGGTCGGTGGTTGAGGTTCTTTCTGAAACCATTGCATTTCCTGCTCTACATCAGTCTTTACCTTCATAAGTTTATGGGCAGTAATCATGTTTGCAAGGTCCTTAATAGAGTAGCACTTTCCCCAAGCTTTTATTGCATTGTAACCATTAGCCTTGGATTCAAGGGTAGACATTGCAGCTTGACAATCAAACAGTGGGAACATACAATCAACATTTTCAAACTTATTAAAACCAGGGTTTTGGACTTTGGTGTATATAACATCTGCAGCATGCCTTGTTGTTGGAAATTTGATGGCAGTGAGTTGCCCTCTTGTAATTGTGTCATGTCTGCTCAAGTTATCCTAAAAGATAAACAAAGATCATCGCATTTTCCTAAATTTAGCAAGGATTTGGATAGCAAGAAATATTTCAACTCACAAAATAATTCCTGTAAGATTTGTCAGTTCTATGTTTAATAGACTGAGGAGAAATAGAAATAATCAAACATGACTAAATCTAACCAAATAAAATAAAGTGGTGACAAAGTCATATGATTTCTTTGCTAAAAACTAAACAGCCTTGTTATACAGATTTAGACACAGTATTGATCTTCACCATTTAGAAGTAAGCAGTAAGTAAAGCTATCAAGCTAGAGGAAAATGAGTGATGCAGAGGTTGATACCCAGTTATCAATTTTATTTGGAAATAAACTGTTCTGCTAATGCTCGCAAAATCAATGTATCATTGAAAGAGAATTGAAAATTGAGAGAATTGAAAGTTTTTTGTTACTATTTCTGTTTTAGGCAAAGTACTATATCTTATCCTTAAGCTGTGCTTTTTTTGTTTTTTCCGTTGTGGAATGTACAAAACATCATGTTACTTACCTTTGACAACATTGCTCCTCAGACAGACGCTTCACAGTGTTCACATTGTTTTCTACAAAAGGAAACAGAAGGATTATTAAAGTTTAATAGGTAATGATAGGAGAAAGGGAAATTTTGGCGATATCTTATGCTTTCTCTCTTCTGGGTCTTGATACTAGGCAGATGGAATTTTTATGCATATGTCAATGGCTTTTATTCTTCACCTGTTTTTGATATTATTTTCCTTTCATTATTGTTTGCTCTTTCTTTTACCACTGATTTCTGAAATCTGATGTCTCAGATTTGTCTTTTGAATTTCAAATCTTACTATCATTGTGAGACAGTAAACACCATCTGCTATGTCACATTCTATTCTCTACTTTTCTACAAACTTCTCTCCTGGTTCCTCATAACAATTTTTGTTTTATACATTTAACAATATCCATTGTATTAGGTAGGTTCCCCCTATGTTTCTTTTGTTTTTATTGTTCTTCCATGGTGATTTAGGTTGATTTTATTGACGAAGCGAAAGCGAAACGTCGTACAAAAGTGTTTTCTTTGATTCTTTATAATATCATCTCGAAACATTTCACACAATGACTTTTGAATTTATATTTAATGTTCACGCAATCCGTCTGTCATAAAGTACTCGACACCGTATAGGCTACTCTTAGGTGTGAAATTGTTGTGCAGAATTTCGTTCAGTTTATCATTATTTCAAATTCTGCTACATTACAAATTATATACACAACAAAAACATATCTTAATCTGATTCAACTTGAATAACATAACATAACAAATGCTGTAATGTAGGCTATAAGCCTCTTACAGATCGCTTCTAATCTAATTGTTGTTATTGGTATGGGATGCTCCTGAAAAACATGCAAGTAAAAACATTGGAGTCCATGCGCAATGAAAAGAAACCCATTGGATAAAAACAAATCAAAGCTTGGAAAATTTCCATTACCATTCTGTTTGTTTATTTGCGGTACTCTACCTAACCTAGCAAGAGTTTAAAGAAAGTGTATGAGAAACCTTGAGTGAATAATACCAACCTTGAACATTACCATGGCCCTTTTTCCGTTTTCACATTGTTGATCTAGAAACGAAAATAGGACATGCCTAAATCTCTCAACATACACGTTTTTTCTTTGCTTTGACTCCTCAACTCTGAACCAAAACAAATTTCTGGGCTTTTTCTGTTTCCCAGGGTACTCTGTCTCCATTGATGATTATCCAATGATTTGCAATCTCAAGGATTTCCATAACAATGTTTGAACTTAAGAGCCTCGATTCAGAGAGGTATTAGCCTCTTATTATGCTTGGGAGGTGTGCTACGGCTAATGGCCAGTTTCTATTACCCTTACCTAAACGTCCATACTTGCATAGCACGAATTGGCTGTACCCTGCTTTGCAAAAAAAGACTCATGTTTAATTCCTTGTTTTCTGCTTGGATATCACAACGAGCTGTTATGTTTAGCTTTAGGACATCCCTGTCAAGGCATAACTTGCAGGAACATATGATATGATGTCACACAAACTTTCCTTCCACAGCATTAATTTTCTTCTTCTTTGCCCATAATGATACAAACACTGTAGTTCCATGTCTGGATTTTGCACTGCTTTCAAAAGTCTTTTAAAAAATCAAGGCTGCCTTCCCCACATACTGCTAACTCTACCAAAAAGTTTTGTAGTACATCCATTGAAAGGTCTCTGATTATTTCCTGGAGTAAAATGGGAAGCCTTGAGTCGATGCTTAATGTAACAAGCCTTTTTGCTAAATTTTCCAGTAACAGAGTTGTAGAAATCTTTCTTTTATATTGCTTTTGAGATGTAGCTGCTAAAATCACAGTGTAAGAGATTGCAAGTGTCTGTTGGTTTTTGGTAGAGTGAGGTGGTAACTTCCCCCTCTTTGTTGTAAGTTTATTGTTATATCCAAGAAGTGTATATTTGTGTTGGAATAGTTTCCTTCAAACTTTATTGTTTTGTGGACGGTATTGGTGTATTGTATAAAAATTTGTAGGTCTTCAAGGGCATGTGGCCAAATGAAAATTATATCATCGATGAATCTTTCCAAAACATTGGAGTATGCCCTATTAGGGCATTGTGTAAAATATGTTATTCTGTAGATGTCATAATTGGGAGGGAAGGGGCTCCCCATTTCAGTGCCTTGAATTTGTTGATAAAATCTACTATTAAAGATAAAATAGTTGTGTTTAAGTATGAATACCATCATTTGTTTCATGTAACTTGTATGCAATGTTGGGTTGTCCCCATAATGCCTCGATACCCTCGTCCTGGGGGATGTTGGTGTATAGAGATTTGACATCTAGTGTAACCAGCCATGAGCTTGGTAGAATGCTAGTGTGTATTTCGAATATTTGTTGTAAAAAGTGAGCGGTGTCTTTTATATATGAGGCACTTCCTTTTACTATCAGTCTAAGATAGTGATCAAGGTATGACGAGAGTTTCTCCGTAAAGGAGCTGCAACCTGACAGTATAGGCCTCCCTGGGATGCCCTCCGTGTCAGGTGTAAGATATTCGAAAAGTGTTTCATCAATATGGTAGTTCTGGAAGAGATGTGTTAAAAAAGTTGTTATCTCGGCAGATGTTTCAATTGTGTGATCTACTGGGTGTTCTTTGTAATAGTTTGCATTTTCACGTTGTTTTGTGGCCTAGTATAAATACATGTCTTTAGGCCATATTACAATTTTGCCTCCTTTGTCAGCTTTTTTTATTGAAATATTGTCTATTTGTTTTAGGCTACGAATGGCCTCTTGCTTCTCTTTTGAAATATTTGGAGGGTTATAGTAGTTTTGTGTGTATAGGTTTAAAATGTCTGAGTGTATATTTTCAAGATATGTGTAAATGTTGAGGTTTCGAATAGATTCAGGTTCCCAACTCGATTTCCCCTTAAATGGAGAGGCAGTTGTATCCTTTTTGTTGACCTGACTGTCATTCTTGATGACAGTGCCATGCTCAAGCATCATGTCTACCACGGCTCCCTGAAGTCTAAGCTCACTTTTTCCTATGAAAAAATCAAAATGTTGAGTTTATGTCTAAATTTCTGCTGCTTTCTATGAGAGGCATATCACTTTTCTTAAAAAGTTTATGAGATTTTATAAAGCAATAAGAGACGCGGGCAGCAAACATGACCTGAATGTCATTTTTGATGACAGTGCGATGCTCAAGAATCATGTCTACCACGGCTCCCTGAAGTCTAGGCTCACTTTTTCCTAGAAAAAAATCAAAATGTTTAGTTTATGTCTAAATTTATCCTGCTTTAAATTAGAGGCATATCACTTTTCTTAAAAAGTTTACGAGATTTTATAAAGCAATAAGACAGGCGGGCACCAAACGTGACCTGCGATGCTCAAGCCTCATGTCTACCACGGCTCCCTGAAGTCTAAGCGCACATTTTCCTAGAAAAAAAATCAAAATGTTGAGTTTATGCCTAAATTTCTGCTGCTTTACATGAGAGGCATAACACTTTTCTTAAAAAGTTTACGAGATTTTATAAAGCAACAAGATAATTGGGGATTTTGCACGTGTTTTTCTTGAGAACAAAAGGATTTTTCCCAAAGATTTTCGGCATTGCTACAGAGTGATGTGCTCCTTGGCTTAGCATGCATTCTGCAAAAAAGGGCCTGTAACCTATTCCAACAAACTATTATACAAATCGAATAAACTAAAATTGGCACTGAAACGCATATGTCAAACATTTGGATGGATTTTCTATCTTATTGACTGACAGTGAAAAAACATAGGTAAAATGGAAAAAATGCTCTGTTAACTGCTAGCTGCAACCAAGGCCCTGAGGTTATAATATTTTCCTTGCTTAATCCTTTTGAATGAGTTCTAGTCAGATGGAGATGAGTGTCAATACTAGGCTCAATTTTGTGAAAGTTAAGACACAACCTTTCTTTGTTTTTATAGGTATAGAAGGTAAAAACTAAAAAACCAATATGTGAATAAAAGTATAAAATCCAAAATAGAAGAATGAGAAAAAAGGAGATAAGGAGTAGTCACTACCACCTGGTCACAGCCTCAAACTCCGATGGGGGGTGGTTGTGTGTGCCCATATATGTTTTAAACAATTAGCTTGTAAGTGGGCAGAAAATGATAAAAAAGCAACTCATCAGCCAGAAACCCACGAGGGACATTTCGGGGCTTTAATTCGGTATGTCCGTTTCTCGTGGGCGCCCCTCGCAATCCTGCGTCCAGGATCACGGTTGCAAAATAAATATATACGCAAATAAAAATGAAAATTAATAATCAGTGAATGCCGTACCTTAGGTGTAACTGTGCCTCTAGTGTAATATTTACATATTGTAAATTTTAAGGGCGCATGATGCTTCGAGAAGCGGCTTTGTATTGATGGCCTATTTTAGAGTGTACCAATCGATCCTTGAGGTTAGGCCTTCTGGTGAGGGCTAGAACCGGTCTGGTGTCATTCCATATTTGTTTAAGATAAGCATCAGCTGAGATCAAGTGCCAATGTTTAGTAAGGACGGAACCTATATTTATAGTTTTTATGTCGAATGGGACAACAAAAGGTAGGACTTGTGGTTTAGGTGGAGGGGGTTCGAAGTTGAGGTGCTGAGGGGTGGTTTCATTGTTGGCGGGGTTTCCTGGGAAGAGGAGCTCGTATTGGGTGACATATGTCAGTTTACTAAATTCGGTGGTGATATCTTGAGATTCATAACCTCTTATGATTAGGTTTTTTTGGAGTGCTTTGAGGTGTTTGTGGAGTTCATTGTTGTCTGTGATCAAACGTCTGAAGCGAAGTGCTTGGCTGTAAATAACACTTTTTTTACACGAAGGTGGGTGGAAAGATTTAGCATGTAAAAGGGTGCATATATCAGTGGGTTTCACGAATAGGGTGCTTTCCAGGAGACCACTGTTGTTATTAAGATAAATTGTGGTGTCAAGGAAATTTATTCTTGCTCTAGATTGTTGTGCTTCAAATTTAATCGTGTTGTGCACATTGTTGGTATGGGCAAGGAATTCAGTGAGGGAAGCCTCATCATATTGCCATATCATGAATATATCATCGATAAATCGTTTCCAGAGTAGAGGTTTCTTCCCCTCGGGGGCTGTGGAGAGGATATATTCTTCAATAACAGACATAAAAATGTTTGCAAAGTTTGGGGCAAAAGGGGTACCCATGGCAGTGCCATGTGTCTGTAGATATGGCTGTCCATTGAAGGAGAAATAATTCCCTTTTAGTATAAACTCAAACATTTGTTGTAGGTGTGTGGCTGGTAGAGGTAGTCCAGTGGCATAAAAATCAATTAACGCCATCATGCAATGTAGAATACCCTCATCCTGTGGTATATTAGTATAGAGGGATTTAACATCCAGGGTACACAGGATGATACCTGGTGGAAAATTATGTCTCTCTCTAAATATAATTTGGAGAAAATGATTGGTGTCCTTGATGTATGAGGGTATAGTTTTAACAATCGGTTTTAAAAAATGGTCCAGAAATTTGGAGAGTTTCTCAGTGGGTGAGCCACACCCCGAGATTATTGGTCTGCCCGGTATGAGGTCGTTAATCTTTGGCTTGTGTATTTTTGGTAAAAGGTAGAATTCGGGGGTGCGGGGGTGGGGGCTTGGTTCAAGGAACTCATAACATTGTTGTGTGAGAAGATTCCGACCTAGTAGATGTGTTAAGAACGTTGTGATCTGGGTGGATAGCAGCTGTATTCCATCAGATTCTAGTTTACGGTAGTGGAGGGGGTTGGACAGCTGATTGTTAGCTTCCTTAAGGTAAGCCTCTATAGACCATAAGACAATGGCTCCTCCTTTGTCCGCGGGTTTGATGGTTATGTCCTTGCGGGTGCATAAAGTTTTAATGCTCTCAGTTTCTATTGGGGTAAGGTTATGGGGTGTAGGGTTAGCAGCTGACCTTATGATCTTGTTGATGTCGACGGAGATTTTATCAAAATATTGTTGTAATTGAGGGCAGACATCATCAGGGGGGGCCCAAAATGATTTCCTTCTAAAGGGTTCAGGTACCGTCCTGGGGGGATGGGAGTGGAAAAAATATTGCAGTCGCATTCGACGTATAAAGTCATCGAGTCCTTGTAAGATGAGATCATTGTCAACCGGACCGGGGGCAGGAACAAACGATAGTCCCCTGTTCAGCAGAGATATCTCACTTGTTGAAATGTGAGCTGAGGATAGATTGACAATGTTATTGATTGGTTTAGTGGCCAGGATGGCCTTTTTGAGCAGCTTTTTGTGTGCATTTTTAGTTAGTTTGGTGCCAATGGTTTTCCTGAGTATGGTGCGTTTGGACGCTGTGCTAGGATTGGCCGTGTACATATTGCAATCTAGATAGCAGAATAATGAGTACGAATAAAGCAACATCGTTTATAGGTAGACAGAGTTTAATATTGTTGATGAAAAGGAATTAAAATAAAAATATACAGCTGAGCATGTTTGTTATACCATAATTAAGCAGCAAAAAAATGTTTTATTATACTAAAGTTAAGCGGCAAAAATACAGAAAGAAAATAAGGGGGGGAGAGGAAAGAGAAAGCAATGTCAAAAGGTGGAATACTGGTGTTGCCTCCTGGGCCGTCTTCGCGGGTGCTGTGTGTGTCTCTCCCTGTTCCCAGGGGCGGACGCTGCCTGTCTCTTGGCATTGCAGTTTGCTATTCTAATTATGTCCGGATTATAATGCTCTTCCATCTCTGACCGGACTTGTGTGGCTTTGGCCTCCTCCTCTCTGGCCAGATCCAGGTGGTGGGATGCCATTATGTGGCAGATGTCTCTGCGGAGGTTCGCAATGGCCTCGTTTAGCCGGGTTGCGTTTGGGTGTGACAGGGGCCTGGTGAAGTCTGATGTGAACGAGGGTTGGGTGAAGGTAGGGAAATGGCCAGACTCTGCACTCCGGGAGAAATATTCATGCTCGTTTTCGTGGAATTTTTTTGAGCACAGATGTCTGGCAAGGTTGTTGACGAAGGTTTGGGGTGGGGGCAGGGGGAGGGTTTCTAAGAGGGCCTGTGGTGGGTGGAGTTCAGGCAAATTAATAGGGAATGTTGGGACGGGGAGGGGGGCGGTGGGGGTGGAGGCAGAATTGGAGTGGGTTTGTACAGAAGTAGGAAAGGTTGGTGTGGAGGTGAGAGGTGCAGACCGGGTGGACATAGTGGCGGTGGGTGTGGTAAAGAGAGGGTGTGGCCGGGGGCCTGGACAATGGAAGGCCTTGCGGGTCGTTTTGGAGTAGTGGGTAGGGATTCGGGAGGGGCCAGGGGAGGGGCTTGGTGGGTTAAGGTGGGATGGGTTCACAGACTTGACTTTTTTCTTTTTTAGTCCCAGTGAGAGGCCTTTGTCGGATTTTGTTCTGGTGTAATCCTGCTGGGCAGGTTTTTTCGGGGAAGATCGCACGGGGGTCAGGTCGATGTCCATCAGGTCGGTCAGTTTGGTGGTGGCTGACGACACCAGTGACGTCACCATGGTGGCGAAGGCAATTGTGCTGGTTGCCATGTTCGGGATACCAGATCTGCAGGGCACTAAAAGTAGGAGGCGGTGGACGTTTATGGGGTTTGGATAAAGAGAGAGGAGGTCGAGGAATGGAGGACACAATGGGTAGGGTAACGGTAATAGGGAGGTGGCCTAATGGAGGCCTGTGCTGTGGATACGGAAGGAGGCCTATGTGTGTATATAGGTCGTAGACGAGATATAAAATAGTAGAACAAGGTATCAGCTAGAAAATTACGATCTTTACCAATACGATTGTGCAGGCGTTTGATAGGCGGGGGTTTGTGAGGAGGGGGAAATCATGCAAATTGCATGGGTGGGCATGAAAGGGCAAACCATGGGAGGATATGGGACGGATGATGGCAGCGGGGGGTCAAGCTCGTGGCAACTGTAATGGGCCTAAGGTGTGGGTGGGGCGTGCAAGGGTGCTGAAAGGAGAAGATGCAACCAAAACGTATACAAGAGAAAAAGGAGGTAGAAGAATAAATAAATATATAAAGAAAATGAGAAGTGGAGGAACGCCAGGTAGCCGGAACAGGTAATATAAGCTACGGTTGTAAGGCCCTAAAGGGGCGGGCACCAGAAGCTAACTGCGATGTGTACGGAACCGCAAATAACAACAAATTGCAGTACTAAGGTGGATGCTGGAGAGTAATATCAATAAGTAATAAGTAAATAATCGGAGCTGATAGCTAAGGAACTACTAATGTAGACAATACCGTAGTGGGAAATACAAATTGTAATGGGACGCAATTGAACGCTGGCAGATTGTCCAGCGTGACTTACCACTGTCCGTGATGGATTCTGGTGAGACTAGGATGTCTTCCTCCATAAAGTTGGCCATTTCATATGTTAGAATGACGCGCCTAGTATGATAATAAGAAACAGAACGTAGGTGAACTTACAATCTTGGCGGCGTGGTGAAACAAACAAGTAAATCATAGAACTAGGCCTGGACTGTTTTAAGGTAAAATAGATTGTTGCTGACAGCAGTTGTCAGGTAGACAGTATGAGATGACTCCCTGTAGCAGGGGAGTATTAGCACAGCGAGCAATGAGGCACGCTGTGAACCATGTGTAGTAAGCCACACCCCAAGCAGGAGAGGTGCACACAGGGGCAGCCCGTCAGGTTTAAAAAGGCTAAGAATCTTTAATAATTAGCAGTTTTAATTTTCCAAATGTACACTCTAAACACTCTTGAAATTGAACATCACTGTATATTGCAACTTTACACTAGACATGTAGTTTGCATTCATTCTCAGCAAATTGCAAACTCGAGAAGTTTCCTTCAAAAAATTTGTTTTGACTTCAGCTTGACAATGATGAAGTTAACTTAACTGTTTACAGATCTCAACAGCCATGCTAGGAAAACAAAATTCCTTAATGACTTTGTTAGTTTATCTTTGAATGTGAGTGAACTATTTAATTTACCTTTGAAGCATGACTATTCAATACTCTTGTGTACAGAGTCAATAGACTAAGGTCGGTACTAGGCATTGAACGAGGGATTGTAAGCACACAAACACAATAACCTAAGGTACCTGAAGCGACGTCTCTCGGAACCCCAGTACCTTACTTCAATGTGCCGAGTCGTGGAGACCAGTCTATTTCGCTTCAGGTGGGCAACAATTTTAAAAAATGTCTTAAAAAGAATATAAGCTATTGCAAGTAATTAAAAAATTGACTGTTAACAATAAAAAGCAAGTATAATTAAAAACAAGTATAAGCATCTAATGAAATAGTGTTGAAAGTAAAGGTAAATCACCTGTTAAATTCACTTTGAAAAGTACGTAGGTCTTTCTCTAACTACGATAACCGCGAAAAGAGGTGGATTGCTTGTGCTTCAGTCTTTTATGCCGGTGTATACGTGCTTAAGTTCTATAATTCGAAACCAATCAGATTCCTCCATTATTAACATTTCTTGTAAGGACACAAACGCTATATATTTCGATTTTCGAATTATGAATTCTAATATTCAACCAATCAGACTATTCAATAATTTACATTTTCATAAAAGCCCGCTAATTCAAACAAACCAATTAGATTCGTCTATTATTCACATGGACTAGGCACATATAGGTAATCACATACCCTTATGCCGAATCTGGTATCGACATCACCATAGGACCTATTGCGGATGGGTAGAACTCAACTTGCTCTGATCGATTTGAAACTTGGTAACTGTAGGTAATCACATACCTTGATGCCGGATCTGGTATCGGCATCACCATAGGACCTACTTCGCAAGCGCAAAACACCTAAAATCTCAAAAACTTTTTTATCTCAAAAACAGCTCCTCATCCTACATGACATCCTCCTACACAACCTCATCCTCCTCCTGCATACTATCCTGCTGCGCAGTGCCAGCTGAGTTGATATCCCCGTATACTTACCTACTAAGGTCACCCTTCAAATCGGGATCATTCTTCTTCAATTACAAGGGCACATTTAGTATAGTGTTGCTGGCATTGGTTGGTGCTGACTATGAGTTTATTTATGTTGGTGTTGGATGCAATGGAAGAGTATCTGATGTTGGGGTTTATAAGAATTCCTTCACTAAGCACAGCTCTGGAAAAGAAAAAACTTGGAGTACCAGGTTCATCCTTCCTCCTAGGATCTACCATTTGCCTACTTGCTGATGACGCATTTCCTTTACAAACATATATCATGAAACCTTTTTCACAAAGAAGCCTTACAATTGAGAAATGCATTTTCAACTACAGACTTTGAAGGGCAAGGCGTTGGTCAGAAAATGCATTTGGTATTTCGGCTAACCGTTTCAGGATTTTTATGAAACCCATCTGCCTTGAACCTTCTAAAGTAGTTTGCCTTACTCTGGCATGATGTGCATTGCATAACCTTCTGCGAACGAAAAGCAGTAGCAGAACACTCTACACCTCGCCAGGAAGTTTTGACACAGAAGATTATGAAAACCATTGGGTGCTCCATGGGGAATGGTGTAAGGATGACAAACCCCAAGGATTGGTTCCTCTTGAGAAGGTCCAAAATGGAAAGCAAAGCTCCAGTGTAAAAGAGTGTTGTGAGATGTTTACAAGATACTCTGTTTCTAACCCTGGCCAAGTTCCATGGCAGATGAAGATGATATAACCATATTTTTGAAACTACGTACCCAATCAATTAGCAAGTTTGATGTTGTCTTCTTTGCAGTTATAAACTCCATCAAAAATTGTAAAGTTCTGTAATGCTTCCACTTTTATGCATACTTTCCACCCTCAACTCCACTGCCTCTTTTTGGTAGTTTTGACTCTTTGGCCTTTTCTCTCCTGAGTATTATGCTCAGGTTCCTTGTTTTGTCATTGATATCCTTCTCTGAAAATCAAAGCGATATGTAATATCATGGCGTGATTTAAGACAGTGGTAGAATATGAATGTTATTGGGATACAAGGAGTGAAATTCATTCCAAGGGGTTGCACTTTCACTGAAAGTGATTTACAGAGTTGGTAGTTTTTAAAGACCAAGAAATGAGACTTACAAGAATTTTCAAAATACTAGCTGGAAAATTTGCTAAAGAATTATAATTAGAAATCAATGATGTGAGATTTCAATTTTGAACGAAAAACTGCAACAGAGCCGGCAACATCTCCCCGGAGGTATTTCTGTAAACACTAGGCCTATAACAAAAAACTATCCCCGAAAAATGGCCTGTCAAACCATACCAGTATATACTTTTACTGCAAAAAACATACCAGTAGCAGGAAATACTTTGACTGCCAGCAAATTAGTGTGATACGATAACACATGGTATTTTGCCTAGTATTATGGTTTTGCATGCACGTCACAGACAAGGAAGCCTGTTTTTAACATAGACCTAGACCTACCTACAAAGAATATAAGGCGCACATCAAAATATATATGACAAATCATATAATATTTAGGCATCATCATCTGATGAGATGGTGATTGGTGTTTGTAATGGTAGGTAAAATGGAGGAACGGGTGATACTGGGGGTGATCATGGTGATTGTGATCTTATAGGTGATGTTGGAGGCGATCTAAGTGGTGATATCGGGAGTACCCAAAGTGGTGATGTTAGAAGTGATCTATGTAGTGATGATTGGGGTGGCGTTGATGTTGGTGATATGGGGGGTGGCGATGATTCTGGTGATTGTGCTTGTTGTGACTGCTCCTCCACCTCCATCCTCAGGGCTGTTCTGAGGAGGGTTGCCGCTCGCATTCCTCTCTCCCCACATCACGAGGAGGGTCTCCGCTCGCATTCGTCACCCCTCGCCAACCTCTCCCTGTGGTGCTCCTCCTCAATATCTGTATCATCGGATGTTGTTGTAGCTTCCGGGAACATGTTTGTTAGTTCCCTGAAACAAAACACCCTAACACCACAACCTGTATCTAAAAGTTACCCTAAAAGTTACATAAAAGTTACACTAAATGTCAGAATCTGAAATCATTAAGTCAAGCCACACAAGAATGTATAGAGACCGGGCTACAGTGGCGATAGGTACCACCTCAGGGCGGAGAAATTCAAATGGATATTTTCAGGTAGCTATGGGTCTG